AGTATAATGATTTTTTAGTATCCGAATATCTTATGTCAGATGATTCGGATCTTTCATTCGATAACATTAACATATTAAACACATTTATTCAAATTAAACAAACTCAAATCCCAATAACATTTATACTGATCATGTTAATTTTAATATACGTAATTATCACGCTTGTATTTAAATTCAAAAAATATATAATATACAAACCACGGCAAATTCATATTGAAATAACCCCCCAAAATAATATGTCCGAAAATGAAAATAGGATCAAATTATAGTCGAATTGACAAATCATCTAAATTCAGTTTATCCGACACTTCCAATGAATCGGGACGATTCAATTTAGAAGGGGAAGAGTTATCCAGCTCATGATCCCAGCCTCTTTACCCAATTTATAAACAAACTCTTCATATACAATTCTTAGCTGAGAACGCTTTCCAGCTCGAGCGCCCAGCCGCCTTACCCAAGTCGTAAACAATTTCTTATAAACAATTCTTAGCTGGGATCCCCATACTCAGCGTTCCCACAGAAGCCCAATTAGCTCCCCCTCTTCAATCGAAGTTCATTATTAAGATTCAATTGCGCCGCGGTCCTTCTAACATAAACTAAGCGGGGTCCAGCTAATGTAAACACAAGCATCCGGTCAACACCCGGCGAGCCCCAAAACTGCAGCGTAATCCGTTTAGCAATCGAGCGGAGAATTGGATCATCCGATTTCCCGACTCTCTTGAGTCCAAGCCATGTCCAACTCTTAATGAGTTCCCCAATTCTCTTAAACCGAGATTTGTTTATCAGATAATCGGCCTTTGGCCAGTCAGTACGTTTTTGCTTCCGAGAAGATCGGTTCAATAGAAGAATTATTGTGAACAGTAGAATAAAAGTCGTTATTAAGGAAGAGTTGTAAAGTTGTAAGTTGTGAATTAAAAATAAAAATACATTATTTAAGTTATTCGCAAGTGAAATAATTAGTTTGCACACACAATAAATAAAAATGCAGTCCTGAGTTATCATTAACTAAATTATCATTAACTTTTAAGGTCCTTGTTTATCGTCTCCAGCCAAAAGATATTCTTAAATGGAAATAAAAACACATAATTATTGACACAAAACATAATTAAACTTAAAAACTTCACACACTGACATTTCTAGCTTTGGTTTTTCTAGAGAAGTGAAAACTTTCGATGTTTGCCAAGTGAACATCGATATTAACTAGTTTTTGGTAGCATCGATAGTATCGAGTTAACATCGATGTTTGTTTCAGAATTAGTTTCGATCATCCAACGACCCACTTTTGAGAGCACTGGGCTTTGAAAATGGTGAGGGCAGACAGTTAGGTGAGACCTGAAGTTAGAAGCTGCCATGTTGGGGATTCTAAACGATCACATTAAGATAACGCTTGTAACCCACTAAACTTCCCCAGAACTTCTTGAAGTGGAGTGGTAGCCGTATGTGGGAAAACTTTTGGACGAGAGAAGCCAGTGCCGACAGTGGCAGAAACGGTGGCGAACTGACATCGATTCGCCACAGGAACCACGTCAGTGAGTCCGTTCCGAGCAACCAGAATCCAGTTGCGTCCCGACACCATGGTGGCCCTGCTTAGCAGCGCAAGACACGCGAGTCGCTTCCCACTCGCTTGATTCCCTTGTGCTCTGCCAATCGTAGCCTGGTTCCCACAACCGTCTTCTTAAGGTCCAGCGACGGGCAGCAAAACTGCAATTATGGTTCGGCCATTGAGTCGCCATCCAGAAACTGCCAGCCAATCCTCGCCAGCCGCAGCAGTCCCACAGGCAGCTACACCTGCCTAAAAAAAGAAATCAAATTAGTTTAAGGCTAATACATTTTGTATTAGAGAAAACGTATGCTTGTGAATTGATGCAGATCCACCGTCTGGGGTCCCGACTTGTCTCCCTTTTTTGAGTCGAAATCGATTGCAGCCTTGGAGCTCCTTAGGATCAGATGACCCGTTCATTTTGATAATGCAGAAATCTTCGCTTGGGGTAATGCCAGGCGTTTAATTTATCAGGCATCCGTAGCCGTTCTTCCGCTATTTTCGAACCACTGCTTTGATCCCTTAAATAATACAAAACTGTGGTCAAATTGCGTCGCGTGTCCGGCAATAAAGTATTGAGTACACTTGCTAAACAAAACATAATGGTGTGAGTGTTTACATTTTTGGGGGAGATGGAGCGGCTGTAGACCGCCAGGAGTTGATTCCGGCCGTTGATGATTGGTTGTGCCTCCTAGACTTCCCTCGGGGTACCAACGGAAGGCTGGGTGCTGCGTTTTGTACATAATTTATAATATTCGTCTTTGTTTACCATTTTGTTGTTAGAGATGTGTGTTCTTTTTAGTGTTGTGAGACGGTGATAATTATCGTAATTCATTTGGGAAAACTGTTGGGACATTGAGGGTACTCCGGCCTGGAAAATTCCGGAGATAGTCGGTGTCCAGGCCAAAGTAAAACAGTTCCGTAACATTTGTAACGAACACGATTGTCCATCTACGCGCGAGAGTTATCTCTGTCCAAGTAACTTGCCGACTAGGTTCAGGGATGGGGTGGGTTGTTTAACTCTCGATCGCAGTCGTTACATGACCAATATGTAGACAGAGTAATGGGAAAAAAGGAATGGAGACTTGGGTCAGAAGTGAAAGAACTCCGAATTTGGGAAGAATTAGGTGTAATTGATCTTCCATTCGAAACGCGCCCTCCGGGAAACCTGTACTATTGGCTAGATTTCCCGTTATGTCAAAACCGTTCCTCTCTTAGGTATCCATCATTATTTTAACTGAACATGATGGAACTCAAGGTGCAAACCTCATTTAATTTTCATTTCGGGGGCATAGTCTTTTCGTTTAGCAATACATTGTTATAATTTGGACTAAACAGGCTTCAGCAGACTTCTCGCTGTTCTTGCCCAATCCGTGAAGGTGAAAGACCGCGGCTTGGGCGGGGAGTCCGAACGAGGATCGCGGTGCCTTTTGCAACTTTTGTTCCCATCCGTAAAGGTGATCCACTGCGGCTTGGCGGGATCCGCACGTGTAATATGAAGTCGGAGGATGAGTTTAAATTTTTACGTCTGGACGCTTCTAGTTTCTGGAAAACAGACACCGAGTTGGCGCCGGAAATTATGGCAGATGTTTCGGCCCACAGTAGGGTTGCATTTCAGCGTCACATCGCGTTAAGTAATATTATTTTAGCGTAGGCAAAACTAACAGTGCTGCCAGATCCTAAGATCTGAGACTCCGCCAGGCATTGACTATGTTAAGTAGTATTCTTATAATATTTTGGTGTGATTTTGGACTGCTGGGGAAAAGTAATAAGGTAGGAGCTGGAGCAGGTCAGGAGGCTTGCCCAGGAGTGGAGGCAAATCGATTCGGGTCACAGATTGCAAATGCAGGGTGACCTGCTGGTGGCATCTTGGACGAGAAGGGAGAAGATTTGCACACGCAGAGGGCGTAACATTTGTGATTAAATCTGTGATCAAAAAGTGCGATAGATTAGGTAGGGTTTTGTTTTTTACTATTAACCTAGGTCGTTGAGAGCCAGTTCTGTTGACGAGCGTCTGGTGTTGGGACAGATGAGGAACAATAGCGCAGTAAAGTTTTTGGCACGGAGTACACCGGTGGGTAATCGGTTCCATCTCCCCCGACTTAAACCTGAAAGGGAAAGGAAAGAGAAAGGATAAGGAAAGGGGAATAAATAATAGGGATTAATAATTGTGAATTTGGGAGGATTTGCGAGTAATATTTGTATAATTATTTATTTTCTTATATTTATTTATCTATTTATTTATTAATATTTAGTTCAATACATATTTGTTTAGATTATTGTTTATTGTTTCGTTTTTTTTTTTTGGATTTAGATTTAGTTTTGTGAAACATGCCAAAGGAAGTACGGAACAATCACGAGTATGGGCTTCGTTCGGAGGCTCCTTTCTCCGGAGAAGACGAGGTATTGTGGTCCTCAAAAGACGAGGTCTGATCCAGCAAAGATATCGGTGGGCTTGCCCGGGGCTTCGCAAAGCCGTTTGCGGGAAAACCTGGAACGTAAGTTTCATATCAATACGGGCCCTCCTCTGCGGTTGGGACTTGAGAGCATTGGCTCTGCTGCGGGCCAACTGCTGCAGATGGAGGTCCGCGAGGTCCGGTTCCAAACAATTAGTGCATCGAGGACGGCAGAGTTGCCGATTTCCGTGAAGAGCAGCGTCACTATGTCAACGTGGGACAGGACTTCAGAAGCCAGAAGGTCCGGATAGATAGGCGGCCAGAATGACTGGATCTCGTTGGAGGACATCGTGTTCATGGTGGAGTTTCTGCAGCGGAAGTACTAATGCTTTTAGGTGGAGGTGCTCAGCCATTTCCACGTTCTGCTCAAGGAACAAACTCGACAGTGGTATTGGATCCCCGGACGTCACTGCAGGTTTACAGCGACAGTTGATAAAGGTCGTCAAAAAAGGTTTGAGACAAGGAATCCCAGGTTCGTCTACGCCATGGATATACACTCGGTGGACGAGTGTACGCCAGGGTGAGGGAAGCCATGCTTTCTGACGCTGAAGAGAATCTGGATTTGCAGGAGGCGGATGAGTTGCAGATGAAAGACAGGAGTCCGTTCCAAACTGGCTGCTGGAACTGTGGAGTCGTGGACCACGGCTACCGCTTGTGTGAGTCGACGGATCGCTGACTTTTGTGCTATGTATACGAAAAGCCGGACACCATCACTCCAAAGTGCCCAGATTGCGCGGAAATCGGTCAGATGGGTGATCAGAGGGCGGGTAGGTTGCCGGACTTACCAAATAAAGGAGCATGCGCAGATACTTGGAGGTCAGAAACCGGATCTTCGCCCAGCATTAGTTGAGCGGCATAGGATTGGTGTTCAGAAAAGTCCAGAGGGCCAGGGGTCGATTCCGGAAACGACTTGCTAAAGGTGGGAAGTATTTGCCGGTGTTGCAAATCCTGAGCGCTATCTACAACGCACGACAACTCAAGGAGATCCTGGAGGTGTTTGGGAACGACCAGCCTGGAAACACACTCAATCTAGTTGATAGAGGGAGCCAAGGTCTTCAAGAATCGACCGTATTCACCCGCGAAGCAGAAGGTGGTCGAGGATGAGGTTGACAAGATGTTAGCTCTCGCAGTCGTCAAGGAAAGAAAAAGCCCGTAGCTACCTAGTTTACAAAACAAAAAAAGATCTGTTCTGCTTAGATGCCCGTCAATTGAAAGATCTGACCACTAAAGAGGCTTACCTAGTATCTGCCTAGTATCGATGGCATTCTGCCCAGAATCGACCAAAAATACTTCACTACCAGCGTGAATTTGAAGTTTGCATTTTGGCAGATCGAGTTGGATCCGAAAAGCGAGGTATTGACGGCGCAGCGTGAGACTAATGGATCGAGTAATCCCAGCCGACATCCGCTCCAACGTCTTCGTCGACCTGGATAATCTGCTGAAACTGGATCGAGATATACAGACGCATCTAAAGTACCTTCGCCGGATCGCAGAATGCCTAAAAGCAGCGGAATTACCCATAGGCATGGGTAAGTCGAAGTTTTGCTTGAAATCTCAGACCTACCTTGGTTTTATCGTTGGTGAAGGGCGTCTTCGGATGGGATTAGGAGGATGCCAGACCCAAGGACCATGACGGAGGCTGGAGCATTCCTCGGGACTGCTGGATGGTACCGCCGGTTCATAAAGATCTTCGCAAAGATGGCTGCTCCGTTTACTGAATCTCTGAACAAAACTGATGCCCAGCCGTAAAGCTCTTGAAATTGGTGTTAGCGACAGCAACAGTCCTTGTGCATGCGGACTTCAAGAGAAATTTGTTCATTCAGTGCAATCCGTCAGACATTGGAGTCGGGCGGTACTTTTCCAGCGAAATGACGAAGTAGCCGATTGCATTTTTCTCTGCGAAGATGAATAAACATCAAATGAACTACACCGTAACCTACATCGTAAGTTCCGGCCGTATGTTGTTACCTGCATCACAGATCACGCGAGTTTGATGTGGCTCATTCCCAAGAAGGATATTTCGGGACGGTTGACCCGGTGGTCATTGCAACTTCAAGGATTCTAATTCAACATCAAGCACCAGAAAGGAAGCAAGAACTACGTGGCAGAGGCACAGCATAATTGAGCGAAATGGGAAAAACCCTGAAAATCCTAGTACTGGCAGGCATGGTACTCCAAGTCCGCGAGCTTGTGCAAGGAGCCAAAGGTACTAAACTTGTGCAAGCCGGCTGCAAGGGATCGGAGACAGAGTGCACTCGAAACAGCCATTCCAGAAGCTGAACTTCGACTTCTTTGGGAAATACTTCCTTGGATGGGATGCTTATCTTCCAGAGGTTGAGGTTGCTCTTCGCAACGCAATCCACTCGGCCACATGTTCCTAAACGGCGACAACTACAAGTAAGCGATGAAGTTAACGTCCTTGTGTGACCAAGAGATGGCTGGGGTAAAGACAGCGGTTAAACTCCAAATGATCCAGCAAAAGGGCCGATAGAATCTGGAGACAGCATATGAGAGAAGCCGCAAACGGTATGACCAACGGGTTCAAACATTCTTGGTCAAGCCAGGTTATCAGTGCCTTTGGCAAGTCGTTCAACGCCAAGTTCGCCAGGGAGTTCCTAAAAGCTCGAGTGGTTAAAGGGGTCGGCATCAACGCCTTGGAGCTCGAAAACTTGCACGGACGTCATCTGGGAGCATACCAAGCCAAAGATATCCGCGTGTATACCGGGAGGAGGCACAAAGTAAACAAGGAAAAATTACACAAATGTGGTCATACTTCCCAGCAAGCGTCGGCACCGCGTTGAGCGCCGTATGTAACTGCTAGTTGGGGCACTGACCAGGTTCATTCAGAAGAGGATTTAAATGCTCTTAATGTTTTCGTCGAGTGGCTTCAGACCGGGTGTCTCTAAATTCTTAGGTGGTGTTGCATTTCAGGCTGGAACTGGCTGGAAGTAAACCGATATGGAGACAGATAGGCTATCGATAGCGCAGACAGGGTAGCCCCAACGCCGGTGCCTCCCCATATTTTTTACCATTGAACGATCTAACAATATAAATAAGTCCTGCTTCGCTCCTAGGAATTCTTATAAATGGTTTTGGCTCGTCCAATGAAAATATGGCGAGGGAAGACAGTCAGGTGAGATTTCAAGTCAGTAGCTGCCGTATTGGGGATCTGAGATGATCACATTAAAATCAAGCTTGTGTGGAAACTTAAATAAAGTGAGTTAGAAATGATAGCTATTTTGTTTTTACAACAAGTGTGTGTCTATAGGCCATTCGGAGATTCAACAAAAGGGCCAGATCTTTTTTTAGGATCTTCTTTTTCTTGTAAAACTCTTCCACATATCCTGGCAGTAACAGCCGCAGTTGAGAAAACATTTAGACAAGATCAGCCTTCGTCCACAGTGACAGGAGCCGTCGGCGAACAAATTTCATTTAAGTGAACTTGAAAGAGCGAGAGCCAAGAACTGTGAAAGTCGAAATGGTTGGTGGTGGTCACACAGTGAATCGCACTAATAACCTATTTAAAATATATGTAAAATATAAATTTTTAATTTTTCCTTATCTTTCTAATTTTCTAATGGCACATTTACATTTAATTTCAAACATAAGTCAATCAAATATTCAAAAAGAACTCAGAAACAAAAATATTGATAAAATAACAAAAATAAAAAAAAAACAGACGAAAAAATGCACTATAAACAAGGAAGAACGCTATAGTCGAGTACCTCGATTATCAGATACCAGTTACTCAGCTAATGGGACCATAGGGAAATGGAGATATGCAAGATTTAAGCGTTATGGGCGTTAGAGTGGGCGTGGCAATCTGCATGCCTAATCCCAGTATTGTTTCTGAGATCTTAGCGTTCATACGGAAAGACAGACGGACGGACGGACATGACGACTCGGCTAGTGATCCTGATCAATAATATATATACTTTATGGGGTCGAAAACGCTTCCTTCTGCCTGTTACATACTTTTCGACGAGTCTGGTATACCCTTTTACTTTAAAGGTAAGGTAAAATTTATAATTTTGCGTTTTTTTAAAATTACTATTCGCACATGTACTTTGTTTTTTATTATGATTACATTAATCGTATTAATAAACTTACAGACAGGCAGACAGACAGACAGACAGACAGACAGACAGACAGACAGACAGACAGACAGGCAGGCAGACAGACAGACAGACAGACAGACAGACAGACAGACAGACAGACAGACAGACAGACAGACAGACAGACAGACAGACAGACAGACAGACAGACAGACAGACAGACAGACAGACAGACAGACAGACAGACAGACAGACAGACAGACAGACAGACAGACAGACAGACAGACAGACAGACAGACAGACAGACAGACAGACAGACAGACAGACAGACAGACAGACAGACAGACAGACAGACAGACAGACAGACAGACAGACAGACAGACAGACAGACAGACAGACAGACAGACAGACAGACAGACAGACAGACAGACAGACAGACAGACAGACAGACAGACAGACACAGACAAGACAGACAGCAGCAGACAGACAGACGCACGGACAGACAGACGACAGAGCAGACAGACGCCAGCGACCAGGACAGCAGCAGCAGACAAGACAGACGCAGACAGACAGACCAGACAGCAGACAGACAGACAGACAGGACAGAACAGACAGACAGACAGACAGACAGACAGACGACAGACAGACGACAGACACAGACAGACAGACAGACGACAGACAGACAGAACAGACAGACAGACAGACGACAGGACCAGACAGACAGACAGACGACAGACAGACAGACGACAGACAGACAGACGACAGACAGACAGACAGACAGACAGACAGACAGACAGACAGACAGAGACAGACAGACAGACAGACCAGACAGACAGACAGACAGACAGACAGACAGACAGACAGACAGACAACAGACAGACAGACAGAACAGACAGACAGACAGACAGACAGACAGACAGACAGACAGACAGACAGACAGACAGACAGACAGACAGACAGACAGACAGACAGACAGACAGACAGACAGACAGACAGACAGACAGACAGACAGACAGACAGACAGACCAGACAG